ACATTGATTTTAACAACACTTTAAACAATTAATGACATAAAGTTTGACACTCGACATCTTCGAGTGTCAAACTTGATTTTACTTACTTGATTAACATTGTGATTAGGGGTGGGCAAAACTCAAACCAACCCGCCTAATCCTCCCCAACCGACCCGTTTAGGTCGGTTTTTTTTTTTTTTTTTTAAATATAGTTGGGTTGGGTTTTGGACGAAGAAGACGGGTCGGGTTGGGTCGGGTCACGGGTTAATCCAAGAAAATCGATTTAACCCGACCCACTTAGTTTTTTTTTTTTTAAAAAGACGCAACTTTGTTTCAAAAGGCAAAAGTTACAGGACAAACAAGTTACAAAACACAATTATACAACCCTAATCTAATAATCTCCCTCCTCCCCCCCCCCACAGTCCAACTCCACTCGCCGCCGCCTCTCTTACCAAGAAACGGAAAAGTATTTTTTTGTAAATTTCTTAATTACTAAAATTTGTCGGTGAAAATCTTTTAGAACTTTTGCACTTAAAAATCTTGACGAAGTTGTACTGAGTATCTATGATTATTCATTATAATTTAACTTTTGGTTATGCTATTAAAAAGTTGTTGTAGTAGATTTTTTATTAATTTTTCCCATTTCTTGTTAAGCTTTGATTTGAAAACAAATGCAGTTATAATTACAGGTACAAGATGCCTCTATTTTATTTCTTTAGCATTTTTATTTATGCATTTCATGTGGTTGATAGGTTTTTATTGTTGGAATATATTTTTATGATTTTTAATGTTCAAACCGACCAACCCAACCCAACCCAACCCAATTGGAACACATAAATGGGTTGGGTTGATTTGATTTTTGATCAAACCGACCAAATTGGGCTGGGTAAAAAATCTACCCAACCCAAAGAATTCATTCGGACCAAAGAATCCAAAACTGAAGATGTGATTGTCAAAGTTTTCTAAAGTTGATCTTGGGAATTCTTGAGACAATATTGCTACGTGTACATCAAACTTAACTTCAAGTTTGACATAATTGTGAGATGACAGCTTTTTATACATTAATTTTAATAACACTTTAAACAATTAATGGCATAAATTTTGCCATATTTTGGAGTGTCAAACATGTTGTACACGAGGTGATTCTTCTCGAAACCATATCTCTAAGCGAAGACAATTGAGTTTAGGAAGACTGATTTAAACTTTACTTTTTGATAAATCAATTCTGAAAAGTAATGAAAAAACTGGCATCCTATCTTCATTCACTGCTTGGCCTTTGGGCACATGCCTACATGTCTAACATATTAAGTAGATGGTTTAACAATTTCAGTATTTGTCTAAACAGGCAAAAATGATTTTTTTTTTTTTTAAATGAAGATAAAATAAATAAATAAATAAATAAATTGACAGCAAAAGGAAAAGAAAAAGATTTGATTTAATTTTGCTATATTATTTTTATTGAAAACTTCAAATTTGACGTGTTTTGAGTGCCCGAGCAAATCGCACTAATTGAGTTTTTCCAATGTAAGAATGGCATTAATAATAATAGTTATGTTTGACTTAGGCATTAAACAGAACAATCAATCAAATTACTAAAGCCTTCTTTTGACATTTTAACAAGCTAAACATGTTACACGAGTAACACACATGCTTTTGTGGTCATGGTGGTTTTCATTAAAAATACCTTCGTGTAATTATTTTCATATTTAATAACACGTTGTTCGTTCAAAATAGTAATCTATGTGGACCACTAGCTTGAGGTCTGTTGGCACATCGCATTCCACTCAAACTCGAGAGTTTGAGAACACTTAAGAATGGGCCATCCTCGAGGTGACAATTAAATATACCATTCAGTTACTTAAGCATGTTTGGTCCCTATTAAAAGTAACTTTTACATGGCTCGTTTTGGTATGAGCAATCACTTATTGTCTAAATAAAATACGAAAACAAGGTCACCAAACTCATTTGATAGGCACACCTTTTTATTCTAAACTGCGGTTCTTTCATTTTTATTTCAAATTTTATCCAAATAAGTATCAAAGAGAGATTGATAATTGTTCTCCCTTTATGACGACCAAATAGGCTAATTGATCGATCATTTTGCATGTACTATCTATCAAGCATATGTTTAGCTTGTAATTATAACCAATTTATAAATAAACAAGTCACTTTTATCTGTAGAGATTCACAAATACCATCACTTGCACAATATTGGTAAAATAAGTCCCCGTTTGACAACCATTAAGTGTAAAACTTTTAGGAAAATGTAGGGATGACAAAAAAATCTGTTCAACTCGAAACCCATGGGACCCTGTCCCAAATGGGCGGGGATTACCCACCTAATCGGATAAACGGAGTGAGGACGGGGCGATCGTCATCGCCCCGAAAAGAGTATGGGGCGGGTACGGGAATCATAGTCACCACACCGCTACCCGTTTCATTTAAAGTTAATTTAAAAATTAAAAATTTTATCAAACAAAAATAATAGATTTATTATATTTTTAAAGAGAACATAAGTTGTTTCTAACAAATTGGTAAAAAAGTAATACTATTTACTAAGTAAAGACATAAAAAAATAAAAAAAATAAATAGGACGATAAATGGGGTAGGGACCTGCCCCGTCCAGCCTCTATCTCGCCCCGAGTCCACCTCCTACTGCTTTTAACGAGTATGGGGATGGGACGGACCTACTTGAGGTCCAGTGGGGTCCATCGGCCCCACTCAATTTTCAGATTTTCCAATCTTTCTTCAGATTTTTAGATTTTTAAAATTTTTTTGTTCATTTTTAGGTTTTCAGATTTTTTTCCAAAATTTTTTGATTTCACCTTCACTGAACTTCCTTCCTGAGTTCGCTCCTGAACAAAATAACAAAAACACCCAATGAGACGGTGGTGCGAATGATCGATCCGTCCTATACTACCTCGTTGCCATCGTTAGGAGAATGTGTGGTTAAGAAATATGATAAAGTTATAGATTTACTTACAAAATATGTGTAAATGTTTAGTTGAAAATAAGCATGTTAAAAAAAGTTGAAAGTAACGGTTATCAAACGAGGCTTAATTTGATGTGGAGTGGGCGTCTATGGCAAGGAAAAAGACTGTACGTGAAGCGAAGCACCCTAGTCGAGCCTTTATCAGGATGGAGCTGCGAATGGCAGAGAGACTAGATTGAGAAGAGAGGAACATTCATGATTGCAATTTACCTGATTATTCTCTTGTAAGGGCCCCACCATGATTTTATATATACTGTGTCACATGTCATCACCATCCTATCAAACAGCTACCAAAATCTACTCAAATCTCATCTCTTATGATCATCTTGTTTTTTTACCCCCCAACTATGTTTATTATTATCATTATGTTTTGATTTGAATTATTATACCACTCATTTTCACATCAATTTCCCAAATCTTATTTTTAATCATTTCACCACCCCCCACATTTTTGGCATTATGTTTTTCCCTTTATTTTCTTTTCATGCCATAGTTATTGCAAGAAAATTAAAGTCGAGGACCCGAAATCAAAGATTTGAACGACCCATGCTATACGTTGAGAGACGAGAAACGAAATCAACCTAATAATATTCTCACCTTGAATTGAAGGGGTATAATTGCCACTTCAAATAAAATATCTCAATTATTTAAAATCGGGTTTTCAATTGATTTTTTTCGAAGTACACCCAAATTATTTTGCAAGGGCATAAACGTCATTGCAAGTGAAAAATGGGCACTACGTGTTGCCTATTAAGGTTGAAAATGGCTTACCACCTTGCAGTTAAACCCGTTTGACATCCTTAAAATTTTAAAAATATTATTTTAAAAAATAATTTTTGGAGGATGTGTATTTAAAAAATAGAAAAAAAAATCTTGAATATGCTCGTAAAATATTTTATTATATAAATATATTATTAAAAGTGAGTGTAAAAAATAAATTAAAGTACAAGACAATAAACATAGGCTATATACAAAAAGTAGATTAGCTTAACAACCAAGTTGTACTACCATCTGTGTGGGGGCAATGACTGAAATTATTTCATCCTTACTTGTCTAGAAGAAATTAAAATTAAAATTTTAATCTAAATCAAAGTTATCAATAAATTTTAATCACATATTTTATGCGATTTACAACTTTCGATCACATATTTCATCAATTTTTATCAAAATTTATTAAAATTTTGATTTTGATCACAACCAAACAAATAAAATACAAATATTTCTTGGTACATATGAAATATGCGGATCGCAAGCATATAATACTCAATGCATCTCGGAATGTACCCCTCCATAGGATTTAAACCCTCACCCTATGTTCGTGTAGCATCTCCCATATTTAAAATTACATTTTTAAGTTTGCCTTGGTTGATGACAAAAGCTTCATAACATTTGATGATTGGTATTTGAAGTTTATTCATGCAAAAGTTAGAACTTTTTAATATTCTTTTGGATTTTGGGGAAATAAGTTTTGCTTCAAAGGATCAAAATATTGAAGCAAAAAAGTACACAAAAGAAAATGAACCAACATTTTTTCGTATAGAGAGGTTATTAGTAAGTCGCATGAAAATAAAGTTCGACCATTTATAAATAAAGAATAAATAAATTCGGCTAACGGTGGCTTAGCATTTTCCACAAGCAAATGAACCGTTTGTAACTTGTGACCTATGCCAATGTTAACCAGGACATCGATATGTGTTCTGTTTTTCCTAAATTAAGATACTGTCTACCATTTAAGCACTGACATTTGTGAAATTTATTTGGAAAATATGAGGATTTTTACTGATGAAATCTAGCAAAGTTCTGACACAATTTAAATAATCATAGTACCTCAAGAACATAAACTGGAAATAATCCTCAAGGGAATCTTTACTAGCAAGATGATGAAAATAATACAGGAAATCAAAACTCAAAAAAAGTGATTTTTAATAAGTTATTCACTTCTTAAGATGGAATACATGCATTTCCATAGGCAAAAACAAAATATTCATTGTGTATCCTAAATGTAATTCTTGATTACACTACAAAATATTTAATCAGAAGGACAAATCCATGAACTCACCGTACCATCGCCAGCTGAAGAAACATTTTCAAGTCCTTTATCAGAATGAAATTCTGAAGTAATATTTCCACCAAAAGTTCCCATATTTTCTTGTATATTCCCTTCAGTCCTTCCTTGTGCAGCAGCAGAAGTACCTTCTAAATTTGGAAATCCACTGAGATTACCTTCAACTTGTTGATCATGGCTCAGTTCCAAAGTACCAAAAGCCGGTCCTAATTGATTCTTAAGTGGAGAATGCAGGAGAGGCTGAAGTTGAAGAGTCTGATTTTGCAAATTCAATAAATTGTGGGGTTGTTTTGGAATTAGGCCAAGATCAGAGGGTAGTTGGAAATTATTCGAATTCAAAGAGCCAACATTTGCGGTGGAAATATTTGTACTGGACACTATAGCATCAATCATAGTAGAGTTGAACAAGGGAGAAGAAGATGATGGTAGAAATGGGGATGGTTGTACCTTTTGGGATGATGGTCGAAGAGGATACAGGGATCCAAGTGTATCCAAATGACCGGACCTCACAGTGGAGAGGAGATCAAGCCGCCGTGAATACGGCGGACCTGAAAATGGAGCTGCCGGGATGCCCGTAAATTCCTGCACCATTTGCCTGAAATTTGTGGTGTCAGTCGTCAGCACCGTCGTGGGCGCCCGCCGTGAAGCTCTCGGCCGTTTCTTAGGATTCTTGGTTGCACTGTTGGGTTGTTGATCAAATTGTTCTGAACCAGCATGTGCTGGCAACTGTACGGATTGTGCGTTTGGGAACTGGCCCGGGCCCTGCTGTGTAGTGTTGGGTCCTTGGGAATTTACAAGATTCTGTGTTCTTGATGATGACCCTGTTAAGTTTCCAAAGTGGCCATAATTGGATTGATCAGATCTTAAACTTCTGGTCCAAACAAGATCATTATTGTATTGAGTATTCGCATTTGGATTGGCCGATGATTGTTGGATAAATGCATCAAGGTTCGAACGAGGATCGAAAAAATTGTTCTGTTGGGACATAAACGGTGGGTGCTGGCTTGATATTGAACCAAAATGGCCGCCGGAATTCAAAAAAGACGAGATCGACTCACCCCGTGAATCATATTCGTCTTCACCTCCACTCGACGATTGCAAACTCCCGCTGTTACCAGAATCCATAACTCTCTAACCAGACAAAAAAACAAAAAAAAACAAAAAAACAAAAAATATAAACAACTATAAGTAAGAAAACCTATAAATAAATGAAAAGGGAGAATCTGAACATACCAGTTACGAGATCAGCGAAAAACAACTCAAGAAATGCATGAAAAAGGCATAAAAGACAAATTTTCCTGGTCCTGGAAACCTTTTCCTTTTCTATTTCTGCTTAATCCACGTGTTACAATGAACTAGGGTTTGTGAAAGAGGAGGAAGAAAAAAGAAAGAAAAAAGTGAAGAAGAAGAAGATTGAATAAATAAGCTTTTGTGGGAGGCTCTAAAAGAGAGGCAGGGTTGAGTACGTTTTCACATGGAAAAGATCCACTTTAGAGAGCGGGGGCGGTGGGGTCGCCATTGGAGGAGAGCAACAAAGCTGCCGGTAGGTGGCGACGGGTCAAACTCAAACACACAGGTAGATGGAGATGGAGATAGAGATAGAGATAGATGATAGTCATATAGATATAGAGAAAGAGAATGGTTGGCCAGTTTGATGTTAGAGTGTGAAATGAAGAAAAGGATGTAAGAAAAAAATTGATTCACGAAATTATCAAAATGGAAAATTATGAAAGAAAAAAAAATCACAAAATAATAATAATAAAAATAAGTGAAAAGGAAAAGGAAAGGGGAATAAAGTATAGGTGGTTAGGCTAATTAAGGTAGCTTTAAAAGGTGGTTAACAAGGACAAAATAGATTCAGACCGCCGCATGCAGCCACCACCTGCGGCCGGTTCATCAGTCTAAAAGATTATTCGAATATTGAACAGGAAAATTATATGCTTTGATTCTTGGCTTTTTATTTATTTTTTTGTTTATTGGTGTTTTAACAGGTGTCCAGAATATTCATTATGGTGTCCCTTCATTATATATAAATATTCAAAATAGAGAAAATTGCAATTTAACGAATTAATTTAGCATTTAGGATCAAATGTCTCCAACCCAAAAAGTTGTCTTTTAGGATTTGTTCATGGTGCTCCCACCTATACTATATGTTCAATCAATGTTGCCGCACGAAGTATTATTGGCCTAGTCATTGGTACCGAATTTTTTTTACGAAGAATTCAATTTAATTCAAGAAAGTTGTTTCGATAACTAAATCAATATAATTTGATTTTTTCATTCACTATCACGATAATGTAGAAAAAAATTCATATTAATTTTTTTTATAAATAAATATTTTTATTTACACATTTTAATACGGTCGTTACTGTCGTTGCAGCTACCACCTCTGTTCAGTCACTTCTCACTTTATTCAATGTTAATTTAAAAAATCATTCGAATATTAAGCAGATTTCTTACTTCCATTCTTCCACTTGATGCTATATTATACTATACTATATGACAAGACAAAAAAAAAAGTGATGCGAACTAAGTTTTTCATGGAAACATGTGATCATACTAAAAAAATATAATTTAATTTAAATTCTAAATAACTCAACATTTGACCAAGTCAAAACCAAGAAAATTTGTTCTAGAAATTGAAAATTAATACGAAATGAGAGCAACATGATGTGCGGTTTTTGGTCGTCTACGTATTCATGAATTGGAACCCGTAATTTTTATTTCCTGAAATTCTTACATATGTTTTGGGGTAATTAATTAATTAATTATTTAGGTTTGTTTCATGTTGTAAATAAAATAACGAGCATGTCCCCTTAAAATCCTCACGTGATCTTATTTTATATTTGAATTAATCAGCAAATTGGTAATTAATAATGTTTTAGATTGATTAGTTCAACCACATTCTAGTTAGCTCCAACTATATAAATATTAGGTACTCCTATTTACATATATTCCAACTATTTAATTATCAAATTATTTATAAAAGGGATTTCTGCTTTTCAATTCAAAAATATCTTCGATTTTTAACAATAAAGCCCTATTTGATTGCCACATTTTCCCTTAAAAATGTTACATCCGATGAAAAGAATTTCACTTTGACCGTTTGATTGCAATGTGAAAATGGAAATCGAATTTTAAGGTACAACTAATTTAAGCTGCATTTTCTTTGTTCTTATGAAAAACGAATTCTTATGGATTTGATGGATTTTTATTTTTCAACTAACATGGAATTGAAATTCATTTCCACATTTGTCAATCAAATGTCCCTAATAATAATACGAGTTTAGCCTCCCTCATTTTTTAAATAAGAATGGCATTTTTAAAAATTCAATTTTTAGAAAATAAAAAGTTTAAACGAATAATTCGATTCGTTTAAAATTTAAAAAAGGGATTGAATTTATAGAATTTACATTATTATATATTTGTCATTATCAAGGTGCTGCTGCTATATGATATTCACGGCTATTGGCCAACCCTACTAATCAAATCCCAATCTCTAGAGATCCGAATTCCTTTTATACACGGAAAGAATAAAAAATTGCGGCCATTATATGGCCATCTGATAAATAGATTCTTCTTTTTTTTTTTTCATATTCCTTTTTTTCTCCTTTTGTTTTTGTTTGAAAATTATCAAAAGACTAATGAAAAGCACGTGCAAGGCACGTGCCATGATATAGTTGATTACGTAATAACGTATGTATAAAAAAAATATTTATGTCAAACATTAGTAAAATAAAATTTTCTTATAAGTTGCTATATGTTTTGAGGCAACATTGGAAAACGTGGTTCATATGAACAGTAAAAGAAGACCCACTCCAAAAGAAATGAATATGCATGTACTGTTCATATGAACAGTATAAATAAAAACCAAAGTGTACAAGTAAAAATCAAAATGAAAAACAAACACACTCTTCCGTGCAGCATGGAGAAATATCTCTCTGTGCTGCTCTCCTTGCAGAAAGGACAGAAATTCTCCTTGCAATAAGGAGAGATTCTCTCCATTCTAAGAATCCATGACACATGTTTTTTTTTTTTTTTTGTTTTATCTAGCCGTATCCTTATATTTTTTTATTCAACCAATGTAAACATGCAACTATTTTACTTTCGCCTTTTCACACGCAAACGTAAAGTACAAAAAATGAAGACGGAAAAAATGGCGAAGCTGAAGACGAAGGAGACATATGCAAAAGAGATAATTAGGATTATTGTAATTAGTACAGCAAATAGTAAATTAGAAACGCTTCCAACCATAACCCAGCTAGAAATTATTCAAAACATGAAAAAAAAATTACAGAAAATTAAAAGGAGTTTTACCTCGTTCTAAAATTCGGAAAACACCCTTGAATCCAAGCTCCAGCTCTTAATTCAAACCAAAACTCCAATTTTCCCCATCTCATAAATCCTTTGCAGCTGAAAAAATTACAAAAATTGAAGGGAAAAAAAATCAGATTTTCTCTCTTTCTCGCTTTACTAGACCCATTTTGACGTTTCTACGTAAATAATGAAGGTTACGTGAGAAAACAGGAAAATTGGACTCTCCGTTCTAAACGGAGAGATGCGCTCGGTTCAAAACCAAGAGGATTCTTTGCTCCGCACTACACGGACCAAACTTGTCTGTGCAGCGCGGACGATCAGCACTATCTTCTTAATTATTATTTTTTTTAGATATAGTGTTTCAATCCAATGATCACAGGTAAATTACCAAAGATATGACCTATTATAAGTGAAGTGGTCAAGGAACTCCCAGTATCACTGCCCAAACTGAAGATGATCCTGCAAGAACACCACTTTCCGGCCACCATGTCCACTGGACGAACACACCAACATGAAGACCACACTACCCTCTACATATCCTACATATCCCAAACAACAACCAACCATAACTTATGCAGATTTGGTCGAATATCTACTCCAAAGTCAGCTCGCACAAGCAAAAATGGTCGAAAAATCACATTACGGCAACACCCAACCTCTGCCCAACATTACTCCGCATGGCACACATATGGGGCTCCATCAATTTGGAAGCGATCGTCGAGATTCTCTATATATGCAGTGTATGTGTATAGGAGGAATTCACAAGAAATGTTGCATAAATGAGAAGACAAGTGGAGAATGGAGTAAATAGCGAGGTATGGGAGGTAGAGTGTACAAATAGAAAAGAAAAAGACGTTTTGCTTGGAGTAAATAATGAGGTATGGGAGGTAGCATGTACAAATGGAGGAGATGAGAAAGATGCTTTGCTCGGCTAACGCGGCTCGCTCAACTCGGCTCGGCTTATGAATAGTAAAAATCAAACTCACTCTTTTATATAGTAGTGAAATATGGCAATTAATATAAAGGTTGAAACTAATTATAGACGTTCGATATCAAGTATTGCTATGTCACTATCAGCTAGTGTTCGATTCGATAAAAATGGTGTCGTGGAGTAAACCTAGTCTGTTTCTATCGTATATGTTATATACTTTAATATCTAATAACTGTTTCAAATAATTGGACTTTACTATTTACATTTTTCGTTAGCACGTCTCTACGTGATTTACCTTTATATTAAAAAAAAAAAAGTTTCGTTGCAACGTTGATAATGTATTATGTTTAATTTGTCGTGTTATACAATATTGAATAGTATAATAATTTTTTTAAATATTAATGAGGATTATTTAATATTTTCCCTAATGTTTGAATGTTTAAAATTTTAAGCAATCTAGTTTAATATTTAGAGTCCATTTGACAAGACTTGAGAAAAATAAAAAACTAACTTTAAATATATTTGAATAATTTTTTGAAATTGTTTCGCTTGACTAGAAGAATTTTTAGTGAAAGCTAACATCAGTTAGCTTTTTCAGGAAGCTATTCTACAATAAACAAAAGTTTGACCAAATAGACTCTTAGCCCATTTGGATAATTGGATGTGGATCATGCTAATCGGGTTATACTTAAAAAAATAAATAGACAAAATTACAGAAATCCAAGTGTTTAAAGATTAT